CAGAGAAGCTGCTGGTGGTGGTGGTGGTGGGGCACAGTTTTGGTGTAGATGGAGGGGGCAAAAAAGACCACAAAACAATGTACACAAATGAAACACAATATAAATTACTGTATACAGACCTTTATTATTTTTATTTATTTAATTTTTTTTTTTTTTTAAAAAGGTAAATTTAGGAAGAGTTAAACAATTTCTTGAACCTATCCATTTTAGGTCAGCCAGGATAATAGAAGGCATATGTCCACACAAACCTTACATGGAAGTTTGAAGAAACTCCAGTGGTCAGAGCCACAAGCTAAAAACAACCCTGCAGCCAATGTCATAAATAAGAAAACAACACAAGACCCAAGTTCAGCCAGAGATGACGACACGTGACAGGCAGAGGGCCCTGCAAGGGAGCCTCCACTCCTGAAGGTCCTGGCACCTGCTGCCCAAAGTGTGGACTCCTCAAGGGACAAGTGCAAGCCATTCTCTGCTCACTTCTTAGGTGGTGGTCAGTGCTGCGAGCCTACGAGGGCAGTGGTCCCTCTGAGCCCAGTTCTGAGCACTTATGCGAATGGATTCAATACATGCTGTACTCAGAACTCTGATTAATCATAATTCTAAACTATCTACTAAGGCTGAGCTCTTTGGCTGCCCCCAAACAAGTCCTCAAATCAACAGAAGAAGCCTAAATGAACTAAATGATCTGTTTCTGGTCCCAAGGAGCTGGTAAAAACGTAGCTGCTCTTCTTCTCTTGGCAATGGACGGACCCGCTACTGAGGACTGCCTTCTTAAAAAGAAACGTGAGGTGGCTTTTTTTGAGTAAACATTTACCAATCACACTGGTTTTTCATACAATCATTCAGACATTTTGCTCGAGAGTATTCATTACCCTAATGACTTAACGGCAGCCCCCTCACCCACGTTTCCTCCCCCCACCCCCCGACTCCAAGATGATCTCTGGGCTGTTCATTTGACGCTAAGCCTCGTTACGCTGTAGAGATGTTATTATTTTTTTTTCTGGACAAATGTAAAAAGGTTTTTTAAATGGGAAAAACAAAAGACAAAATTCAAGGCTGTGGTCACCTGTGAAGGGAAAGGTAGGGGAGTGTGAGGTATTTGATAAATACCTAGTATAGAATCCTTATTTAGTTTCAAAATGACCCTAAGAAAACAAGATTCCTGGGGGTCCAAGGTGGTGCAAGCTCTTGAAGGGTTTGGCCACAGGGTCGTGTGTCCTTAAGCCACTGGAGTGCCACAGCTGTCACTGTAAGTGCAGAGGTTTATGTCACGATGACGTGTGCACAACGATGCTTAGCAGGCCTTGAGCATGCAAAGAACAGACAGAGGTAAAAACATCACTGATGAAGGACCAAAAAGTTCTTAAAAACACTGCCAGTATCTTGTAAAGTCTCTGTGCCCTGTCCAGCCAGCTCAGGGAAAAAGTGGCTGTGGTTGAGGACAGGCTAAGTCTTCTGCACGGGAACAGAATGAGAAGGCCTTCGGTATCCTCCATTCAGACCCACCACACGGCACCAGCTCTGGAGACGTGGTGAGCTGGGGCACAGGAGAGTGTACCCCAAGGACCTGGGGGTGGGCGTGGAGGGAGGACCAGGGCACAGTGGCTGTGTTTTCTAGGAGCCCTCATCTGGCAGACACACATACTGAGCTATTTACAGGGGAGAAAACCATCTGGGGTTTGCCTTGAATACATGGAAGAGAGAAGTAGTCAGACAAGACAGACAGTTGTTGACAGTTTCTGAAGTTGGCTGGCGGGTACAGTCTATAGTTTTAGTCTATATCTAGTGGAAATCTTCCTTTAGACAGAAAAGTAAAATTACGTTAAAAAAGTAAATTTGGAAAACTGAGCAAGTGCAGACATTTGCAGAAAGAAAAACACTGAAATGCCAGGGCTGCCCTAAGTTCCCCACACACAGGCGGACAGGAATAGAGGACCCTTCTGGACATTCTGTAGTCAGAAGGGGTACATGCCCATGGAAGTTGAGCATGACTGGAGCAACCTGATGGCCATGACACTGTCCTTGTTCATGCGAACAGGTGCCAGGCTTTAGCTGTCCCATTATCAAAGGGCCAGATAAGTGAAGTGGTTTTCTCAGAGTTCTGAACCTGAAGTCCCTACCACCATTGAAGCCACACAAATGTTCTCTGATTACATGCTCTAAGGCATAAAAGGTGCCCAGACCCGAGGCCCAGAAAGGGCAGAGCAGAAAAGAACCCACACCTGGCTTTTCAGGCTTTACAGCAACTCCTCTGCCTTCTGCTCTGTGCAACAAGACAGACAAGTACATTCAAGGCAGCTCTGTTCATTGGCCAGGCCTGTTCAAGAGTGGCAAGTGTCAGGTGTCCATACACTGAGCCCTACCCCTAACCAACTTGAACCCTAAGAGAGGAAATGCTCTGGCCCAGCAACTAATCATGCCCACTGCAGTGGGATTCCCCGATCTGGGTGTATCCCGTCTTCCTTCAGAGAATTTCTTCTGATGATTAATTGGGGAAAGATGGACAGCATGTGCATGGTGCCTGTGGAAGGGGTGGACTGGACCCACAAAGGATACCCTCACCTCGTGGGGAGAGCAGGGCCTGGTCTCACCCGGGTCATCCTCTCACTGGGTCTGGTGTGGTGTCTACTATCAGCAGAAGTTCCCAAGGAGCTTGTTGAGTCCCTCCCTGACCTTGACCGCTGGCCCACCTTGCAAGTTCTAATGCAGCAGGCCAGGGACAGAGCAGTCCTGAGGACAGAGTAGGCTGTCTGGAGACTGCATGTGGCTGCTGCCTCTGCTCTACAAGTGCCATGTGGGGACAGTAGACAGAGGAGCCCTGGATAGGCCAGGCACTCAGGCATCAACCTAAGGACAGGTATCAGCCCTCTGCACACACTGGCTACATACTATCCAGCCAGCATGCCGCCCACACAGCCCAAGACAGGATGGAGGCCCTCAGCCTCCCTCTGCAGGCTAGGGCCTGCCTGGTACCCTGGGAACTGGAACCCTGAAGCTTTAGGCTGCTGGGGAATAGGACTCAAGCTTTGGTCAGCACCTGAAGCATTAGGGGCGCTGGGGCTCATGACCTCTAGGAGTCACTGTTGTCAGACGTGCTAACTTCAGCTCAGGTCTCAGCAGATGAGTATCTATCTAATCATTAGGAGACCCATCTTCCCCTCCCTGGTGGGATCAGCCCAGCCCTCCAGGAAGTCATTTCCAGACCATAATAGTGGCTCAAGGACACAGGCGAGATATGTGCCTGCCCAGCTGGGCCCGAGGGCAGCACTCTACACTGTTGGGGACGTCTGTCTTCCTGATCATGAGCAGGCTGTCTGCCAGTACCAGCGACACTCAGGCTCTAGTGGGGGACCGGTATTGGGCCCCAGGCCAAGTCCTCTGGCGTGGAGGTCAGTGTCAAACCAGCACAGAAGCAGTGGGCGGCAGTGCCTCGCCTCCACCCTCCCCAGGAGGAGGGACTCTACAGGGGTCAGACATGCCCCAAGCCTGGTAACCCCAGCACCAAGGCCGAGGTGCTCACATGTAACGACCACCATGGTGTGCATCAGGGAAGTGACTGGCTGCCCTCGTCACTTCTGCCCACAAGACTCTCCAGTGCTTCCTTGCTGGCAGCGGGGCTCTGGCTTTACACTTCTGAGCCAGCTTGATTCAAGTCGGGTAGGGGGCAAAATGGACCAATTCCCACGTCAGCAGCATTCTGCATGGCTCACCTCAAAGGCCACACACCTGATTTCCATCTCCCGCAGTAGCCATTCCCCCAGTAGGCCTCCAGTACTGCCTTGGGTGACCAGTGCATGAGGACAGGACAGTCCACTCCCGCAGGCGGACACACCCCCCTGACACCAGCTGTCCCTCCTCGGGACACTCTAGCTCTCTGCTAGGTTTGGTTATCTGGTGCGGTGGCCACACAGGATTCACAGCACATGGTCATGACCTCATAATCGGAATCAATGTGGAGGTACCGAGCCAGGATACAGGTCCTGACCAGGACTCTGCCCACAGGCCTGCTGCTCTTTCAGCCCCATCACAGTTGACTGTCAGGATGCTCTGTAGCTTCTCTGCCAAGGTCCCAGGAGCCCCACTGTGCCACAGCCCCATTCTGCCAGCAGTCTCCTGCCCACAGTTCCTCAGCAGGCTCAGCACTGGCGTCTCTTGGAAGGATTTGGCAGTTCCCTGTGCTCTGGGGATGATTTTATTGAAGCGCAGAGAATGGCAAGACTGAGCCACATGCCTTGGATCATGGAAAGAAGGGCCACAGAAAAGCAGTTCACTGATACACAATGACACCAGGAGCCACTGGCCATACCAGGTGACCAAAGAGAAGCTGAGGTCAAGTTCTCCCCTGAAGTAGGTCATGAGACAGAAGTCACACTGACACCATGCAGCCCTTCTTTTAATGCCTGGGGCTACCCAACAACCCTATCGTCTGCATGACTAGTTTCACAGATGAAGATGAGGTCCGGGGAGCAGCAGGGCGTGGGCTTCGGGACTGCCCCAGAGGTACACTCAGGGACTGGACAGGGAGGAGCAGCAGTCAAAGGTCAATGCCAGGACGTGGTATGGCTGTCCCCGGTGGTGCAACCAAGTTACAGCACCTGGACTTGACCTCCTGTCTGTCCACCACCAGTCAGTAGTGTTCACAGGAAGCCCCTCTCTCCCCACTGCAGTGTGTGCCCCAGACCCAGGGTGGTGCTGGGATCTAGCTTCACAGCTTTTTCTATCATCAGGGCAAACTGAAAGAAAATACACACCAATGTTTCTGTGTGTCAGTGTCATCCAAATGCTAAAAGCCATGCCGGGAACCCAGCAGTCCTGAAGAACAGCCATCCCAAAGAAATTTGGACGCAACTGCAGCATCACTCAGAGCTCTGGTCCTCCTCAGCGAATGATCATCACCCATTGTCTGCAAAACCCTGCACCCAGCCCTGAGCACAGAGGTCTGCAGTGGCCACAGGCAGGCCTCAGAACGACTGCAGGGCCAGCCCATGCATGCACCTTACCTTTTTTCCTGTCTGTTTCTCCACCATGTCGTTGCTGAGAGGAATGTCGTCTTGCTGTGGTGTCTTAGAACACCCACCCTTGGGCATTGTTCTGCCCACTCAGCAGGTCTTCATCTACACTGCTGTCGCCTCATCGTCGACAGTCTGCAAAGAGAGGGCAGAGGGAACGCTCAGCATGCAGCCCCATTTCTCTCTCAGCCACCAGTCACCTTGTGCAACCGCCTGGACTCACAGTAACCAGGTGCCTGTTGGCCAGTTAGCCAGCTGGAGGGAGATGGGAACCAGGGACCCACCATCAGTAGTTATGGCATCGGAGTGTGTGCAGAAACGAGCAGGGACGTTGCTTGCCCAGCCAGACTTGCCACTCACAGGTGTGGCCTTTACTAGCTGGACACAGTCAAGACGTGGTCAGATGCAAGCAAAGCTCGAAACCTCCTAGCCACAGGCATTCATGAGCACACTCATTCGGCTTTCCAAACACCAAGCACTCCCTTGCCCTCCCGCCACCTGGCTGTTCTGAAGAGGGCCCGAGTGTAGCACTGGGAACCCTGGAGGCATCTGCCCATGGGGCCATGCCTGTCCTCCAATAGCACCAAGTGCCAGGTGTTCACATGTGAGGGTGCCAAGAGGCAAACACTCACTGCTGTGGGATCCCAACCTAGGCACGTGCATGTGACCTGGTGTAATCCAGGTATAGATGCTGCTCAGTGGCTACATCCCATGCCTTCCAGTGGTGGCACCTCCCAGACTGCCACCGTCTTCTCTCCCAGGAGCTTCAGGACCTGTGGGCCAGAGTCTAGTGCCCAAGACAGCCTCCTTCTGAAGGCACCCAGAATGAGGCAGGTGCAGAGGAGCGGCATGGCTGAGAGACCTGTGAGCAGCCAGGAAGCCACTTAGCCCAGAATATACCTGGGCCAGGACCGAGGGTGCAACATCAGGCCGGAGGGCTGCTAGAGGCCACCATGGAAGCATCCAAAAAGTAAGGGGCTGGAGGTGCAGGCCTCCTGTGCCCTGCTTGGCACCTCACTTCTCAGAGATGGAGAGGAGACACAGAAGGCGCATCTGCTGCTAACTCAACTCTAGGCCAGAGCAAGGACAGCCGGTTTGCAGCTGGCCTCCCAGCCCACCTGGTGATGTAGAAACACAAGACATGGCTGCTGGGCCTTTCATGTGCTGTGCATGCACATGGTGAGCTTCTGAGGAAAGGCTCTCTATCATGTCCCCTGTGGTGGTCCCCCAGAGCAGGCCAGCTGCCTGGCCATTTTCCCATGTGGTCCCTGCCTACTGGGCGTGCAGCCTCAGCAGAACGCTTCTTCCTGTCTTTTGAGCATGATCTAAACTTTGTCTTAAGAACAAAGCCTGTTGTGTTTATGAGTTAACTCACACATCCCAGATACCAGTCTCTGTAAGATGGTTTGCTAATTTTGCTCCCCAGCCTACATTTTCATCTCCTTAACAGAGCAAAAGTTTTTAATTCTGACAGAGGCAATTTATCAATTTTTCATTTTAGAAAAACTGCTGCCAACAAACTTGGCCTGGCCACAGTCATGAAAACTTCTCTTTCTCTTCATTTTTAAAGTTTTATAGCGTTACATGTTATACTTCAATTCAGGGTCAAGTTAATTATACTGATGATGTTTTAGTACTGACCCAGGTAGAGCGGCTCCAGTGGTTCTCTAAGGTATTGTGAAGCTGTAACTGGCACTACACCATCTTGTCTTTGATACTATGTTTGGTGTCAGGGTAACGTTGTTGTTGCGTACTATGGTGAGGAGACTGTTCACCTTTCTCCTGTGGAGCAGCTGGTGGATTTGAACCACGTGCAGTTCCTTACCTCTAGGCCACCAGACCTCCCCTCAGGATAATATTCGTTTCTGAAAAGGAGCTGGAAGGTGCTCTCTCCTTTTGCAGTTCCTGGGGAACTGTGCAGAGCTGGTGACAAGGCTTTAACAGTTCAGTAGAATCTCTTTTTGAAAAGCTCCTTAAAAAAACCCCAAATCTCTCTGGTGGCCTAGTGGCAAGAAGTTGCACTGCAATCCCAAAGGTGTGCGGTTAAAATCCACTAGATGCTCTGCTGGAGAAGGAGGGGTAGTCTCCTCTTGTACCAGTCAGATCCAATTTGACGGTACACATAAAAAAAATAATAAATGCAAAAATACCCAAACCAATCCCAAATCTCATTTCTTTAATTTTCTTTGCTGTCTCTCACTGTTACTGAGTTAAAATCAACTCAAAGTTGATCCTCCAGCAGGTTTTCTAAGGCTATAAATAGCCCAGAAGAGTTCTCATCTTTTCCTTTTGGAGCAGGTGATGGATTTGAATTGCATGTCTTCATGCTGGCATCCCAGCTCTCTACCCACTAGACTACCAGAGTTCCACTGACCCTAAATACAACCAATTGAAACACTTCTGGGTCCTATACCATTCTCAGACAAGTCAGTCTGAGCCTATTATTGCAGCCACTGGATCTAATTAAAGGCCTTTCTCTTATTTTATCAAGCAGGATATGATGTCTGTCTTTAGGGACTAGATCACTCCTGACATCATGTTGCAAAGTACATCTTAGTTTCCTTAAGAGATTGGATCTATTCCTTTTACATAGGAAGGAATAGATAGCAGGAGCGGAATCAACCCATTTACATTGTGGTGCTAGAGGAGAGTACTGTCAAAAGAACAAACAAATCTCTCTTGGAGGAAGTGCAACCAAGGTGCACCGCAGAGGCAAGGATAGTGAAACTTTGTCTCATATACTGTGGGCATGTTGTCAGAAGGGGCCAGTCCTTGGAAAAAGACATGCTGAAAAAGGTGGAAGGTCAGAGAAACGAGGAAGGCCCCCAACAAGATGGATATACATAGTGACTGGATGCATGAGGAAGGCACAAGACGGGGAAGGTTTCCGTCTGTTACTCACAGGTCATTCTAAGTTGTAGAATAGCACCTAGCAACAACTATTCCATATGAACTGAGTTGCAGCAGACTGCAATTGTCAAGGAGTTCGTGTCCTTCATCGAGGTTGTCATTATTTAAATGTACAGAGTTCTAGTAATCCTTGGTGCCTGCATGTTGGTAGTGACATCACTTTTCATTCTGGATTCTGGTAACTTGTCTCTTTTCCTTTCTTTCAGTCTTGCTAGAGGTTTGTAAATTTCATTGACATTTAAATAATGTAACCTCTTTGTCTCACTGATTTCTGTTATGATTTCTTTCCTGTATTGTTTGTTAACTTCCTCCTCTTTTTCTAGGTTCTTAAGGTAGAAGTTCTGTTAGGCAGCTCTTGTGGCTTTAGCGGCAAGGAGTTGCACTGCCAATCCAAAGGCAGGCTGTTGCTGTTGTTGTTGGGTGCCAACGGGTTGAGTATGACTCCTAGCGACCCTATGAACAGAAGCTATGAACCCTGTCCAATCCAGCGCCATCCTCACTTCCTGACACACAAGAGACCATTGTGGCGGTCACTGTGTCAATCCACCTGATCCTCTCCTTCGCCCGTCTTCCACCCTTTCCAGCATCCTTCTCCAAGCAATAGCCCCTCCTGGCAACATGCCCAAAGTATACCACATGCCAAAGGCAGGCCAGTGGTTTAAATCCACCTATCTCTCACTGGGAGAAAGACGGGCCATTGTCTTCTAGGTGACTTACAATCTGAAAAGCTGCTGCAGGGTCAGCTATGAAAGAGTTCTGAATTTAGCTCACTGTTCTGACAGCAAGGAGCTGTTGTTCAGTGTGGGAGCTCAGAGGGCTGATCTGAAGCTTTGTTTTCTCCTAATATGTTTAAGGCAGTCAACTTTCCTCAGAGCACTGCATTAGCTCTGGCCCAACAATTTTTATTTCTTTTCATTTTTCTTATTAACTTCCCTCATTAACTTACGGATTATTTAGAAATCATGTTGCTTATGTTCCAACAGTTCCTATTTTTCAGTCTGAATCACTGTGACAGGATACATTCAGCTCAAAGGTTGATTGTTCAAACCTATCAGACACTTTCAAAGGGATAAAATAAAAGTACAAGAACCTGCTTCCAGAAAGCTTCTACCCCTGGACCCCCACTGGGCAGTCAGTCACGTCCTGCAGGGTCACAAGGAGCGGGAACCAACTGGACAACAGGTCTGGTCTGACACTGGTCAACATTCACATTTTGTGGCACATGGTATGCTCTCTACTGGTCTCTCTATATGTCTCACAGAAAATATATTTTGCAATTTCAGTAGTCTGTTTTAACTATGGAATTACTGGGTAACTGCATGGTTCTGTTATTATATAGTTTTGCTAACTTCGTTGAGTTGGTCTACTACTAATTACTGAGAAAGAGGTGTTGTACAATGTGCCTTTTAAAATCTAATCTGCCAATCCCTGTATTTAACCCATTACACTTAATGTAATATTAGTATATTAGGGCTTAAGCTTACCGTAACTTCTTTTGTCTTCTGTTTATATATTTTTTCCCCTCTGCCATTTTGTTTTATTTCTGTTTCTCTGTCACTTCTCCCTTGAAAGCTGAGCTATAATATTTCTGACAGTATCTGTTTGTGTATCTTCTACATTGGCTGCTCTAAGGTATTACTTTTACACACGCTACTCTGTACTCCCCTTTACATCTTATTTTCTGTACATAAATTCAGAACCACTTCAGTGTGTCAATTACACCTTCTAGAACTCAGGAGCAGACTCCACTCACTCACTGACATCAAGTCATGTTCCAACTCCCAGCCCCTCTCTGTGGGATTTCCTACCCAGGAACCCTAGAAATCTAAATGGGAGAAGACTGCCCATCTTCCTCCAAAGAGCCGCTGGTGGTTTTAAACCACAGAAGCATGGCCTTTATTTTAGTACAGACTACACCGTTAAGAGCTCCCACAAGAGCAGAAGCAAGCCTATTATAGTCATCCCTATTTATTTCTGCTTTTTGAGATCATTCTTCCTACCTGATAGTCTAAGACCCCTTTTTGTTAAGAGAACTTCTTTCAGCCATTCTGTTAAGAAGGGCTTGCTATACACACTTGTTATTTCCCTTCAATTGAAGTCTTTATTGTCCCTGGTTTCTGGAGAGTGTTTTTGTTGATAAGGAAACTTTGTTGGCAGTTCTTTTCTTTCAATGCCTGAAAAATGGTGTGTCACTTCCTTGTAGCCTCCCTGGTTTCGGAGGAGAA